CATCAGGTGCGTTCACATAAGACCTAAAGCGTTCGTCCCAACCAACCAACCAAGCATCAGGGTCAAATGAAACTTACACATCCGAGAATTTGGTTAGTGTCCGATGGAACAACGCAAACTCAGCCTTATCAATTTTTGGTAATAGATCAATGCCTCCTCGTTTTGGCGTAGCCATAAATATAGCATCCAGATCTTTCTGCTCTTCGGATTCTATGTAGTTATTGGGTACCACTTTTTCGTATGTCATGCTTAATATAGGCACCACGGACTGCATCTTCCATTACAACATCTTCTTTTCTAACAATTTTATCCTAACCAAAAAAAGTTTTAAAGTATCAGATTCATATCATTTCTACAAGGCTAATAGCTATAGTTCATCCACACTCAATAATACACTACTACATACTTGAATTGCAAGTTCTTTACCCTCTGCAGTTTTTATGTACTTATGAGGTTCCACTGTCTCGGCTAAGACGCTAAACAAACAAACGTCTTCGACTTTCTCACAATGTACTGCATCTTTACTTACACCATCTACTTTTCCAGCAATTGTATTCTGCAAAAATACAAGTTAAAATGCCTCATATTCATATTATTACACACGGTTAATAGTTGTAGTTCATCCACTGTCCACAATATACTACTGCATACCGGAAATATCAACATTAGTGTACTCTGCTTTGGTTTTAACACATCGTTTGGTACAACTTCGAAGACGCAGTGTGATTCCATTACCGCATTTGGGGAACATGTTCTCAACTGTTGAAATGCAAACAATTACAAGTAAATGTCTTGATTGGAATATAAGTAACATTTGATTCTTACCATTTATTTCCTAAAGGTTAAGTTATGCTAAACATTTTCTTCTCTTATACAGTGCACTTAACTATACAACATACATATCATACCTTCTCCTTTTGGCAACCATCATCTTTTGTTGAATTATCAGATACAATTGGAGGTGCTTCTTCTGCCTGCATATATGAGAGTAAGGAATAATGCTAAATTTAGTTAAGTACTTGTAAGAACCTTGTGTACTGTACTATTTACTTAGTTCTTGGTTCAATAACTAACCTCTGTCATTGTGTCTACACCTGGTGCAACATCCACCAATGCAAAACCATTAACCGGATCAACTAGGTTCTCCATTAACACTGCAGAGTTTTTAGTATGGTTTTCAACAAATATTTTACCATCCTGAGTCGAAACCATGACGCATTCAGCACCGTATCTAGGTAACGTATCAATGACATCAGTTTCATCGACAACCATGGGTGTCGCATTATCGGCCTGTAAATAAAAATGTGAAGTTAAGTAACAAAAAACTCTAGGTTAAAGTTAGTTTCCTAATGGATCTAACCAACAATGTCCACCTCATCAAAAATATCACTCGGTATTCCTCTGCCTTCATTTGAATTCTCTGAATGTTGGCCGATGTTATGTGAACATCCCTAATAAAAAAATGAGATTAGATAAAGATCAAAAATCTTTAGAAAGGCGTTAGCTGTCACACAATTCTGGTACCTCATCTTCTTGTAAGTTAATATCAGAAACAATCCGATGAGCAGGGCTATATCTCTCCCAATCCTCATGAACCGCATCATTTCCAACAGCCTCATCTCCTACTGGTTCTATAGAAACAGGCTTGATGGACCCTTTCGTCGATTGGGAAGAAATGGCAGTTGAAATGGATAGAGTATTTCGCCCTGTCTTCTTTTTCCAACAAGACATCCTCACTCGTTGCGACGAAAATTTTCCCACTACAATGGATTTCCGAGATCTGGAACAACGTTTAAGTTTTTCCACACGATTTTGCAGTTCCTTAATAGTCAGAGTAGTAGACGCCACAAACTGCTGAAACTGGCTTCTGAGTTCATCATTACTCGTCTGAGACGCAGATAAGAACTCCTCTAATTTCTGCTGACGACGGTTAGAGCTATATTTCTTTGATTGGCTACGCCATTTGCTTAGCGATAGAAGATCTTTTGTCTTCCCATTGTTGCTCTTCTTCTTACGTAACACAGTACGCTTAACCTTGCTAGGATTCTTAGGCTTGTAGATGTGTAGAGGTAGAGAACTATCGCCACCAGGCCATATCTCCTTCTTAAATATATAACCATCCATGATCAACTGTACCAAATATGCAGTTTTCGTAGTTCTGACCTCATCCTCCCAATCATCGCCACGATCTGTGTCCAGTTGCATCATTGGAGAAACAATAAGCTACACAAATAATGTCCAGTCAGATACAACTAAAATTAAAAACATGAGGGGAAATGGGAAATACTAAATGAAGCTAACACTTTGATCATTTTCAGCTGCCAACACATGGTCCAAAGTTAGCGTCGTTTGATGTGGAAGTTCGTTTGATACTGTCTTCAACAGACTTGTCATTCCTAACATATCTAGGAATTCTTGTGAGCAGAGGTGGTATTGACTGGTACGCTAGTAGCWGTAAAATAAGTGGGAAACRTTGAATCCGAATTGTCTTTTGTTGCAATCGTTCACAAAGGGAAGAAACATGATCAACAACTTTGCTTGCTTTTCTTTTCCTCATTTGTACAGTTTGTTTTTGGGCAAGAACCATACATGTTACAGTGCGG